AGAATCAGCCAGCACAACTTGGAGATATATGGTCACCAGTCGGCCATTTTGTATCTGAACAGAAACACAAATCTGGGGCATACGTATACCATATTCCAATCCAATCCATACGCCCCCAGACTGTTTCCAGTCAACAACTAACAATCCTAGAAATCTGAATATTTGTTCTAATACCAATGAACTAACTTAACACATCAGAACATTCAATATTTCACATAGTAATTCTAAAACACAGATGAAACAAGTCATTATTAATGACACAGTTCCCATCCAAATCTGACATATCAATTTGATGCTGATGAAGTCATTGAGATTAGATTGAAACTATTAATAAAAGATGGATTTGTAAAAAAATATGATTTAGTGCTTTTACACGAGAATTGGACATTGGGCAGTCATATTGAATCAAATTACAAAAATAATGTTCATGTTGATGTATCTATTGGTATAATGTCTTTGTACAAAATTATGGCCTAGTCATCTCTGAGAAACAGCTCCAATCATGTAAAAATTACGATTTAGCACTTTTACATGAAAATTGGGCATTGGCCGGCCATATTGAATCGGATCACAAAAATAATGTTGGTGTGCATGTATCCCTTGGTATACTATCTTTGTACAAAATTTAAAGAGAAATGTTGGGCAATTTATTACTTAGTCAATAAATATCCATTGGTTAGCACATAGATTATGAATTTCCGTGATGGAAAGCTTAGTACACGGCTTTTGGTCGCTGGTCCACAGGGTTGCATCGACCATGTGTCAGCCATTTTAGAAAGTGATTTTATTCTATGACGTAATTTAATTGAACCGCCCTATGCGTAAATTGACGTTTTTTGATTGGTCGGGCGATTGACCTCGTGTCACATTTTCATTATAGATGAAAGTGTTTGACGAAAAAAATCATGTAAACAATGAACACATGGCTACAAAGTAGCTGTTAAATTGCGCTGTTTTTATTTCTTGGCCAGTACCGGATTCTGCCGAAAATTCGACCATCCGAAAAATTTCCCTGGACGGTTTCACGGCTGGTGGGCCCGTATTTGGGGTTCAAATTTTCAAAAAATTGGGGGCTTATATTTTCATTGAAAACGAAAGAAACTATTGCAGAAGCTAATCTAAAATTTTATACATTTTCTCCTTGCTGGATTAAAAAGTAGTCCGCGCATCTTTCTCCAAAAAAAAAAAATCACATTAATGAACCTTGTGCGCCAAATACAATTATTTGGTTTCATTTTATTAGTGACGAAAGTATATTATAAGTTTCAAATAAAAATGAACCCAACTGCATTCAAGTCGCTTAGTAGCAAATGGTCGCAGTAGCGCAGTCCGGTCATGCTGAGTTTCACGATTGTTGATTATTACCTAGTAATGATTATAATAACGTGCAAAAAATAAATTCGTTGAATTGATATGAAATGCAAATAAATTTCAACTTAGTTTTATCGTAAGCGAATGATTCCGATCACATTTCCAACACTCGATGCTGTAGAAATGAATATTCACCATGTTTTGACCTGAGACAATGTTCTTTGACTTGACAGGCCAAATCGATAATTAACCAATGAAAACGATGGATGATACAAACGTGTTCAAATTACCATAGCTCATTTAAATATGTTAATGTTATTGAAAGCAACACGGAAGAGATTTTCCGGGATTGTAGTACGATCTTTTGGGCTTGGATTTAGATCAGAAAATGGCATGATATTTTTTTTTAAACAAAAAATTACTTGTTTTTAAAAGATAAACTGAGCATTTGAAGAATAATTTAACATTGTTTGCAGCGATAACAGCTCATTGTCGAAACAAAGCTTACCCATTCACGCTAGTCGCTATAAACATAAATACTCTTGAATAGGCGTCAATAACTATGGCGAAATTTGTAGACACCAGAAATTAACACCTTAAAAAACTGCCGAAAAATCGCCCGCGATTACTTTGTTCCAAATTATTTTGTTTAAGCCCGAACTGCCGTTTAACGGCCATAGGCAAATTTACGACAGAATCCGGTACATCAGACTTCACTGCCGACGACCAGTCGAACAACTAATAATACTTTGTAGCCACGTGTTCATTTGCGTACAGAGTGACCTTTGCCATTTTACTGTTCCATTTCAAGTGTAACATGGTGCGTGGTCCTTGACGCAGTGCGTGTTCTCTGACCGATTATACGCCATGAATGTCGCTAGCCACGAGTCTCAGAGCCACTAAAACAACATCATGTAATCGTGTTCATTGGAAAACTAAACAAATCACTAATAAATTTATGAAAACAGCTCCATTTTGAATCGATCTAAAAGTACTCTTTTAATTTGTGCACCAAAAACCAATAATTTCCGTTTTTACGCTATTAATTTGAGTTTTTACGGTAGCATGGGTACCCTGAAAAACAAAATGGCCACCAGTCGGCCATATTGTTCGAATCCTGAAAAATAAATGACGTGCACCTACAACCCAATGTGTATGATCTTTGATTCAAATCGACCCAGTCATCTTTGAGAAACTGCTGCAGACACATTTAAATATCAGAAATAGCAAATTTTACATCCAAAATGTGAAGTGAAGTTTGAATGAAATCCGTCAATGGGTGTTCGAGATATAGTCCGAGATATAACCGGACGTACGTACGGTTGGACGGACGGATGGAACAAACCCAAATTATTAGTCCCCATTTTCGTTCGAACGGGGACTAACTAATAATATCTCAGAGTACAACTTTAAAGATTTAATGGGAATACTCACATCACTGACATCCAAGTTGATATTACCAGTAGAGTCTTTGAAATGTTGACCTTCAACTGACAGGAAAAACGATAACACTTGTAATCTTCTGTTGGACCATGATACTGATATAGACTGGGTGCTACCACCAACACACTCAATGAACAAACCAACTAGCTTGGCTTTCTGATTCACATTGGTTTATCTGGTAAGAAAAGTACAGACATGATAGAGTGAAAAAAAATCTTAAAAGGGACAATGACAGGAGAATAAAATCTAGACACAATTAACACATCACTGCTGGCACCATAAATAACAGGGATGATTTCAGTTTTCTGAGATGCGATGCGTTAATATCAAAGTCCATCTTTTTAACTTATGGATAATTATTGTAACTGTATTTGAAGTAGTGTATTTGTTCTATTAGTGACACATGCACTTAAATTACAGAGGTGTTTCTGTTGTCAAATTAAGTAATATTTTAATGATTCACTGTACAACAAATGTGATTTTTGGTTTGCACTCCTATTGAAGATGTGCTTCTAATATAGCAAACATAGTAAACAAATTAGGAGAAAAAATCTAGAAACAATGATAAATATTCCCTCAATAAATCATCTTTATAAAAGTCTCTAAACCATGTAATGATATAAGCAAAATTAGGTCGATAAAAATACTTAGGTCGATACTAAAATATTAGAAAAATAATGAGAGCCAAAATATATAGTACAGCATGTACAAGATTAAAAGTCAGATTAGGTGTTAAATGTGAATGATGGTTTCAAAGAAAAAAAAATTATTAATTAAAATTACATTTAATACTGACCAGTGCATATGACATGTACATGTATGTACTATAATTTATCTATATTGGAAAACAGTTATGGGGATTATTAATTTTAATAAACAATATTCAACTATCCTTTGCAACACCAATAAGATCATAATGATAATGTTTCTTGGTTTTTGAAACTATGGGCATTATCAGAGCATGGGTCTTATTTTGGAACTCCTGCCAAAGCAAATACACAAATCATAAGGACAAATTAATAGCTTCTAAGGATGGTATTCCCAGAATAGCGCAAGTTGTAAAAGAAACATAAAACTTTAATTTTCAACAACGATGAAAGGACCAGTTACTGTGACAAAGCCCTACTCCCCACCCAATACAAACCCACTTACCACGAAAGCTACTTACCGCGAAGCTACTAGTTTATTAATAAAATGAAAGAGTGTTATACAAACAACCATCCCATAAAAGAATATACCAACTTTGGTCACTGCTTGTATTTTTAATTTTTTTTTCAAAATGGTACAGTGAATTTAATGAAATTTTAGCATTTTGGTCGGATCA